AATATGCACTAATCATACTGAATTTCTCTTCTAATATATGACTTCAATTGCAAAACTTATACAGGTGGTTCCGAGTCTAAAATGGTTTCCAAGGACTCCAAGCGTTAAATATATGACTTCAATTGCAAAACTTATACAGGTGGTTCCGAGTCTAAAATGGTTTCCAAGGACTCCAAGCCTTGTCTAATTATGAGGTGTTCGTTCACGTGGGACTAACTTTTCTACCTTTAGGACTTTTAGACTTCGAAAGCAGCAGGACGGAGATATTAATATGCCTAACGTTATTGTCGATTTGATACAAATTTGGGGAGGGGGTGCAATCGAATCGACCAAACTGATCCACAATCGATCTGATTGGTTGAATTTCATTAAGAAGGTTTTGATTGGCTAATAATTTTGAGCTCATCTGAGGTAGCCAATCAAATCGATTTAAATTCCAACGAGAAACCACATGAAATTTCACTCGAAAGAACAATACTATTAATAGTATGTTTTTTAATTCAAATAAAAGTTAATTCAAATGAAAGCTGTACTATTAATAGTATGTCATCGATTGGCATTTTACGCCTTGTTATTTCCCATTATGGTAAGAGTCTCAAGCACAGAGCGGTGTATTTCAACGGTGCTTTGGTTGTCTTGATAAGCGTTCCAGAGGTCGTGGAGGTCGGTGGTCGCTTTGTATATATCTACGCCTTCACAGTTGTACAGGGAGGCCACGAGTTGTTGCAGGCGTTGGTCCATTTCTCCAGCCATTTCTTGTGGCAAAGTCTTCTGGTGCAGCCACGTCATGGCGGCGATGGCATGAGTGAGCCCTGGCACGACATTATTGGGCGAGTTCGCCAGCAACGACTCAAAGAAATTCAACGTCGACGGCAACGAAGAGGAGTGATGGTGATGGTGCTCGGTAATAAGGGCAGTGGCGGTCAGAAACAGCAGTGTAGTACGAAACAGCGGAAGCAGCGTGAGAATTACACTGGATTGCGCAGCAACTTCGACACGAATTTGCACCGAATTAGGACCCACAGCTATAACTTGCATTTGTTTGGATTGGAGCAACTCCTTGGACAACGGGTACACGTTATAGCCCGTGGCAGGTTGCAGTAGCCATAAACAAGGTGGGATGTGGTCTGGTGAGATGGCCTACAAGTTGCTTAGCAACAACTCCTGTATCTGTTTAAAGTTAGATATTGTTGATTCAACATTGGACAAGGAATCGACCCAACCAAATGGATTACACAAGAATCACCGGTAGAAGAATTGAGCCAATCAGATTTTGAAGGAAACCACCACCAGAAACATCAAATTAGTGTGTGACTTGAATTAGTGTGATATCGATCCCCACAGAACACTTGTTCACATGCTTATGATGAGTTGGAGCCCCAACACGGACAATCGACTAGCCAATGAAATTATTTCAATCCAAAATTCCAACCAATCAGAAATAGTCGACCATTGCATATGCAATATTTGTATGGTATACATATGATGGTATTAAATTGAGATTCAAGTCGATTTTTCCAATAGGACAATACAAAGAATCGATCGACGAATGTGGCGATTAAGTCTGAATTTTGGGTACCGTGAAACATATATAGATTTGGACAGTGGCGGGGCAAGTATCCGGATAGTGTAAATTACCATATGCATACAATAATCAAGTGTAATAATCCAATTATATAATCTTACAGACGATTATATAATTTTACAGAGGAGTCCAAATCTATATGGCTGTCTAAACCTATATACGTTACACGGTAAAATAGAAGGACAATATGTATCTCCTTAGATATACCAGTTGTGATGGCGTAGATGTAGTCAACATTTCTGCGATACGGGCGTGGCCTTCGTCTGTGGCAAGGTCCAACGCAGTGTCGCAGGCCTACGCCGTGTATGAGTTTGGGCGTTGCTAAGCTATTTGCTTACATTGGTCTGAACCGATACATCAAACTGGCCAGATGCTAGCAACAGCTCCACCACGTTGGCATGGCCAGAGCAAGTTGCAGCGTGCAATGCTGTCCATCCATCCTACTCATTGAACTCGAATCCTAGTAAGTAGTAGTTAGTAGTACTAACCATGTCGGATACAGCGCAGTCGGCTACGGCTAACAACAGCCGCACCACCTCGGCATGTCCTCGTTCGCAAGCCACGTGTAATGGAGTTGCTCCGTTCTACAAGGGAGGAGCCTTGAACTAGTACATTTGTGTTCGTTTGAGTTGCTTCTACCACGTTCGGTTGGTTCACATCGACGTCGTCATGCGCTAGCAATAGCTGGACAGCATGGACATGACCCATCTCGGATGCAATATACAGCGGCGTCGCGCCGTCCTGCGAAGAATGGCGGGATGAAATAGGGGAGAATGATGACCGAGCTCGACACGGTACTACCTCGTTCGCCAAGTTCACGTTGGTGTGTCGTAGCAGGGTGTCAAGTACATGTATATGGCCTTCCTGGGCTGCCGCATACAGCGCAGACTCGCCATCCTGTGCTCCGAAACATTGATATGCTCTATGTGGACGACGAGAATAGGAAGGTGGTCACGTACGTCGTTGACCCAGTCCACGGCGTGTGCCACGTCGACCAACACACGAACAACGTCGTTGTGACCATGCTTTGATGCAATCCACAACGGAGTGGATCCGTTCTACGGTTGATGAGGAAGGCAGTCCGTGCGTGGTATTGTACCTCGCTGACGTTGATGGTGGTTTCCACGTCACGGAGGATGCGCGTGATAGTGTCCATATCGCCATCCCTGGCGGCGGTCCACAAGTCACTCGCCTTCTCCTACTCATCGCCATCTTAACCTCCACACCGTCCGTCGCTCAGCCTTACCTCGCGGTGAAACATACTGTAATTGCAACTATGATGAGCACAAAATTGGTTGAAGAATATTGGTCAAATCTCACCGATTTTTCGCAGGAATTTGCAGAAAAATAGTAACGAAATGTATGAATTTTGATATTTATTTATGCGATTGTTGCTGTAATAACGATATTATATGATGCTTGTCACCTATAAACTACCAACTTTTCACAAAATTTTCTGACTTCTATTTCGTATTCATTACTCAAAATTTCAGCAAATTGAGACGTAGATCTCAATGTGGTGAAGAAATTCTACGTCTCAGATTCAAATTTGGTGATGAATTAGTCCAGAAATAGATATTGTCGATTTGCTGGGAATTTCCGAATAACGTAAAAAACCAATTTAGATAACTTTTTTGGAGGCGTCGGAGTAGAATGGACATAACTTTTGAGTCCGTTACGATATTTGAGTTTTGAATAGTGATTC